CTGGGCCTCAGTGTCTCCAACTATAAAAGGAGAGAATCCTTGTCCAGAGCTTAGATTTCCTGTCGGTTCTCACCCTGACCTCCTGGGAGAGGGGCCTCACAGGGAAGCCCCCAGGACATGATATTATGGGGCCTGTCCTCTCTGTCTCAGTGACGGTGACACTGTACAGGGAGGGACAGGCAGGACAAGGGTCCGGGCACCCAGTCCTACCCCTCAGCTCAGCCTCAGCTCAGTGGAGGGAACAGGGTGGATCAGCCCTGGCTCAGCTCCAGGCTCTGCTGCTCCTGCTGTGGGGCTGGGCGGTCCCTTCTCTCCTCTGAGTGTCGGGTTCCTGTCTGCTCATCCCTGATCCCATCCTGCTCACAGGCTGTTGGGAGATGAGGTGACTTATGGCCTCACAGAGCTCAGAAAGGCAGAGCCCCAGCCCAGCCCAGCCCAGCCTTCCCATGGGGCGTCAGGGCCTGCAGGTTGGAGATGGACCCGGGAGAGACTCAGAGTTTACACCACACCCTTCCCCTCCTTTCCCTGCTGTGCTGGGGGCAGGTACTGAGGAAGGACCCTCAGCTCCAGATGATATGTGGACAGGCCCCTGCAGAGGAGGAGCCCAGAGCACGAAGCTGTTGTCTCCCTGGGGGGACAGCGTGAGGACAGCACTGGGAACTCACAGTCCTGCGTTCTAGTCCCAGCCCTGCCATTCCAGGGTGGGTGACCTGGCACACGTGATAACCTCTCTGAGCCTCAGTGAAGTGGGTGGTGGGGCTCAGCATCCCTGGTGCATGAGGTGAGAGGAGATGAGTGACAGACCCCAGCAGGAGCCTCACGCACAGTAGGTGCTCATGAAATGGCATCACTGGCTCATTCATGACATCATTAGAGTGCCAGGTCTTTCAGGTCTGATTTCTTTCCTGGAATCATCCCCAAAATCTCCATCTAGGCTGACTCAGGACCCATCATCACCAAGGGGAGCCCCGTGACCCTCTGGTGTCAGGGGTCTCTGCAGGCTTGTGCCTACGTTTTGTATGAAGAGAGGGGCTCTGAGCCCTGGGATATGAGGATCCCACAGGACTCCAGCAACAAGGCTAGTTTCCTCACCAAGAGGGCAGAGAGGAGCTTGGAGGGGTCACAGACAGAGTCTCTTGAGAAGGACAAGGTCCCTCAGCTCAGGGTCAAGGGCGTGAGGGGAGGGGTGGCTCTCTATACACATCACAACCTTCTTCTCCCCAGGAATGTACAGGAAACCCTCCCTCTCAGCCCAGCCAGGACCCTCAGTGGCCTGGGGAGCGACGGTGACCCTGCAGTGTGTGTCTGAGATCTGGTTTGACACCTTCCACCTGCACAGGGAAGGGTCATTGGACCCTCCCCAGCACCTCCATCTGCAGGACACGTCTGCACCCTCTCAGGCCAACTTCACCCTCAATTCTGTGAACTCAGGCCACCGGGGGACCTACAGGTGCTATGGCTCACGCAGCACCTCCCCCTACCTGCTGTCACATCCCAGTGACCCCCTGGAGCTGCTGGTCTCAGGTGAGGAGCCTGACCCTGTCCTTTCTGTGCTCAGTCAGCTCAGGGCCCTGTCCCTAGGAGTGTGGGTGACAGTAAAAAACAAGGAGGTGGATGAGGTTCCACAGAGCAGAATGCAGCCCATGAGAGAGTAGAGACAGGACCTCCCTCTCCTGAACCCCATTTCTGAACCTCAGCAGAGATGAAGGGTAGGGAGGGTGAGTAAGATGTGAGTGAAATGAACAGGAATATGATTAGACTGAGCAGAGAACACAGACCCCCCCCCCCCACTCACCTCCTGATGTCTTCATCTCAGAATCTGGGTCCCTGCAGTCCCAGCCCCGAAATACTCCCCTATAGAGAAGCATCCTGCCTGTGGGCACCACACTGCACGGCCCCCTGTGCTCACCTGGAGGCCTCCAGCCCCTCAGTGCTCACCTGAGAACAAGGAGGGACCCTGCAGGGCTCATGGGGAACTGGGGCCTCCTGCTCAGACTCTGTGCATTCCCCTCTGCTCAGTGTCTCTGTGCACACGGGTCTATTATGGCTCTTTTTAGAGAATCTTCAGGCCATATTCCATTCTATAAGCTCACAATTTAACTTGCATTTTGTGGAGTCCAGATAGAAATATAAATATCCTGTTCCTCTTTTCAATGGGAGTAGATTAAATTCATACATTTTTATGAAGAATAACTTCTTGTTTATATAAAGTCTTCTTATCACACACATTTGCAAATGAGCTTCATGCATGAACCTTAGAAGCATGCTACCTATTTGTAAAATTGAGTAAATGCACAGCCCACTTAGAGAATTGCACACCTAATATTGTAATTTGTGAGTAAGCGGTGTGATTCCTGTAGATTTTCTAAATGGTAGTAAGTGCAGATAGGAAAGCTCTTTGTTTGGGCATATTTATTTCTTGACTTGTTAGCTTCCCAAAGACTCTGTCCCTGTGGACTGTTTTTCAGTTGATCCCTCCAACATGCTGATAAAATTATAATAGCCATCAGGCCAAGGAAATTTCACTTCTTTATTCCCAATTGGATACCTATTTTTCTCACTCCACACCGTAAAACAATGAAATGAGAGATTAAAATTATCCAGA